TAAGAGATAAAAATCTAGAAAAATTTTTTTCTGATAGAGTTTTACACGGTGAGCATTTTTTCTGCTGGGGTCAACTGTGCCAGATGCTTCCTTCGTGGTCAAATTAATTAATTACGCTAATGAACTTACTTTCCAAAAAATGCCTATGTCTCATACCGTAACAGATAAAAGTCTAAAAAATATCTAAAGAAATGCAAGAACCAGACGTTAGTTGTCATTTCCCTTGATTGTACTACGTTGAGCAAAAAGATCGTGGTCATTTAAAAAATGATCACGAAATTTGTAAACATTGCGAGTTCGAATCTACCCCCGAGAATAAAATAAGTCATTAAAAAATCATAACCATTCGGTACATGCCGTAACACAGTAATGATGGGTCAGCCTGAATTGTGTTACGGCCCCTTACCCCCCCTAGGCCTCCTCCTCAGAGATCCTTGAAAATTCACCGATCTAAGGGGGGGAGGCCATGCTCCTAGTTCCTATTTTTGGACATCCTACATGTTTAGATTTTGGTTAGGGCTGTGTTAGGGTTTTCTGAGAAACTAACGATATTTTATAAAGGTTGACGAAAGTAAATCGGGGTCGAGGAATTCGAATCTGAAATCAGATTTCAAAAATTTTGAAGTCGACTTTTTTTGGGTCAAGGAAAGGGTTTTCTGAGAAACTAACGATATTTTATAAAGGTTGACGAAAGTAAATCGAGGTCGGGGAATCCAAATCTGAAATCAGATTTCAAAAATTTTGAAGTCGACTTTTTTTGGGTCAAGGAAAGGGTTTTCTGAGAAACTAACGATATTTTATAAAGGTTGACGAAAGTAAATCGGGGTCGGGAATCCAAATCTGAAATCAGATTTGAAAAATTTTGAAGTTGACTTTTTTTGGGTCAAGGAAAGGGTTTTCTGAGAAACTAACGATATTTTATAAAGGTTGACGAAAGTAAATCGGGGTCGGGGAATCCAAATCTGAAATCAGATTTGAAAAATTTTGAAGTTGACTTTTTTTAGGTCAAGGAAAGGCTTTCTGAGAAAATAATGATCTGACAGCTCATCTACTGAAATATTCAATGGCATTGTCATTCGGAAACAACCTAACACAATAGATAGTATTATAATTAACAGGGTTTTAAAAATAAAACACGTAGACAAACGCCGGAAACTATTGTTTTTCCAATTTATTCACAGTTTAAATGAATCGAACTCATATCTGAATATAAGAGTAGAAACAAAGATTAGAGAATTCAAAAGATCGATATGATCGGTTTCGTCCTTTCTCAAGGAACTCGTCAGATAGCTTTATTCATTCTATAATTACATAAGTCCAAACTGTCCAGATTTTTGAAGAAGTTATTTGAGCATATCACTACCGGTTTCATCCTTGTTCAAGGGACTTCTCAAGTGGTTTAAGATATCTTAATCGATTACGAAAAATCAATTAAAATATCTTCTATACTGTCATATGGAAGCAATTTTTTTGAACGAAATGTTGAAATTTGGAAAGTTAAGAAAGATGTGTTAGTTTGTGTAGTTGTCTGGGTCTGGTGCTGTGTGTCATCAATGAATACAGAACAGCGAGGATAGCGTATACTCGGTTCAAAATCAGAGAAAAACGGTGAGTATCTTTTAATCATGGCATCATTGTAACCACTTGCTTGGTAGTAGAGAAATTAAATACACACTTCATCGTATCATAATTATGTACATTTTCAAAATTTAGTTTTCTGTCTGGCTCTTAGGAGAATACTCCTGATCTCTCCTCGATCCATTTATGGCATCCTCTTATACGAAAGACATTTATTTTTTTCTAGAACAGATTTTCATGCAGTTCAAGTGTACTCTAAAGCAGATGACACTGATAAGACGCTCCATTTCGACATGTGAATTTTGCAATTACTTCATTCATTGTTCTCATAAAAGAATAGCGTGGAGACTATTGATGACATCTAACTTTTTCCTGTTTTACAACTCTATTCCAACTTTGTTCAATATCAGAATCATTACAGTATCTTTCAAGTAATGACTAGAAATTGTTCCCTGGAGTATGAAATACTTTCAGAATTTCTTTGTAACTACATTGAAGATAAAGGAAGCCGAATAAACTCAAATACATTTTCTTTCGTTTCTATGCAGTAATGAGAGTCTTTTCTTTCATGCTATTTGTTTGTGTTTAATCTCACAGTCCAAGGC